ATCTGTAATGTCATATTCGACGAAATCGTCATGAATTTTCCCTCCCAAAATTCGTCTCAGGATCTGCCTCTGATTTAAGTGAAATTTACTTATTCCTATAATAGATGTAATAATAATACCAGGAGATTATGATATTATTTTTCCAATTGACTTGGTGAGCTTTTACCTATTTTGCGTATGCCAAATAAGGGACAAAACGTAATTGTATTATTGTATTTTTATACGCACTGTTAGGTATGAATTCGAATTTCAGAAAATAAATGTTTTGTGAATACCCTGAAGCTGCTTGTAGTGTCAAAATATCATATTCCTCTTTGAAAAAGAGGAGAAATAGAAAGAAAGAGTAAATAAAATAAAATGATATTGTGGTAACTCGTTGTCTAATATTCCATTCATTTCTCTGAAATAGACATCCCGTGAAATAGAAATATCCTGAATCCCTCGGAAATAGAAATCACAATAGATGTCACGGAATATGAACTTATTATTTCAATATGCATTATGGCGTGACCTCATTCATGATGCGTTTTGTCGATGAAGTTAATACGTAATGAATACGTAATCCGATACCAAATTTTAGCTTCTCCGATACAAATAAGCTTTCCGTTCCCGTCCTATTTTCAAAGGTATTTTTATTTTATCCTTGCATTGCTACATGTGAGCGTAACGAATGGGGTCTCTCAACGGCACATTAATGTTTCGTTGACGAGGCAAGGGATACTATGAAGGGGGCGTTGAATCCCTTCTTTGGAGTTAATAGGGAGGACTACCCTAAGTTAATATGATCAGAGTGTGGAAGCTCAGGCTCCAACACTCCCGACCAGAGATTGTGAAACGACAGGAAATAGGTACTTCCTGATTATCTATAAAAAAAAAACAAAAATAAATACATTAATGCAAACCCCCTTTTTTAATGACCCCATAACCCTCTTTTTCACGTGACTAACGTCCTGGTAGTATTATCTCAGCAATTTCACCGACAATATAAAAAATATACTATTTTCTTGCTGAAAATATTTTGAAGAACAAGAATTTTGAAGTCAAAATATTTTTATATGTAGAAATGTACATGGTTTTGTAACTTCGCTTAACTCCAATATTTATCGAATTTCAAATTCGTGATATCTCTGAGAACTTCTTCTTCTTCTTCGAAAATATTTGTAGGAAATGATAAGTGGTTTAGATCATGCAGATCCATGCACTGTTTTTGTTTGTGTCTGTTACCGTTTGCCATTCTTAAGTGAAGATTTTTTTCTTTTTTCATATTTTTTTAACGTTTGGAGAAACTTTTGTTCTCTAGAATTCTTTAGTCTTATTTTTTTGAATGTAAGTGCAAAACTCCGTGAATCTTCTTCCACCAATAGTATTTTAAGTATTTAATTCGTGTAAATTTGTGTGTAAAATAGTGCAAATATTATTCTTGCGGTTGCAATACGGTACATTACAATTTCACAATTTAATAGATAAATAAAATTCGGAAAAAAAATGTATATACGCTATACCATTCATTTAGAAGACGTAATAGATCTTTCTTTGTTTACAAACTGCAAGGAACTACTGAATCCGTGCCACCTGTTAGTAGGTTCCAGTTCGCTTCATACATTATTTCCCTTTAGAATTCCATTCAATACTTTGGAATTCTGGTAGCGGCATGGCAACAGCGCATCCTTCACCCCAGTGCATTCAGAGCCACCCTTCGCACCCGCATTCCGAAGGGAACGTGAAACGTGGGGGAAACAGAAAAGATAAAGTAAAATCTTGTAAATCAGTTTTGCTCCGTGAAAGATGCTTTTTATCCAATTCTGAGTAACATAATAACATTCACAGTTTGCGTACGGGATTCAGGGCGGTAAATTAAAAAAACGCATTTGACATTGAATACAATTAATAAGATGGTATAATAAAATACCCAATGTTGCGGGCAAACTATAATCCAATAGATCAAGAACATTTAATATACTTTTTTGTACAACCATGGAGAGACAATCACGCTTGTTGGTCTCAGCTTAATTCTTGTTTCTCGGGTTGCCAGTTAAGGTCTCCAGAACTAAGCCACTGATTCAGAGCGTCACAGCCCACTAAATTGTAAACGTGAAGTACATGCCATTTTCAAGAGTTTTTATCTTAAAATAATTTATATTCAAGAATGACAATTATTGTGTTAATTTTTTTACCATTCTTGTTTTTTTATGAAAGCGTTTATGACAATCACAACAAATTGAAAATGCATTGCATTGCTCACGAAAAAAAGTAGAGTAAAAGTTTTATTCTTCGCATTAAAATGTTATGGCCAGATGTGATACGTTCTAGGACTTAAATTCGTGATCTGTAAATGACACAAATAAGCCACCTGTGGGATGGTAGGATGACGCACAAGAAGTAATAAAAACAATTCACTACTACAACAAAGCTCAGTGGAAATATAACCGAAGAAAAATGCAACTTACATATTATTCTTGCAGTCTACTGAAGAAAAGTAGATGTTTTCTCACAAATGTTATAATAAACACAAAAACACATAAGAACAAGAACACTCCCGAACTTCGCGTCACCCTCGCATTACGTATTCCGAAACACTGACGAAGTGCCTCCGAAGCAGAGCGCTCTGGTAGCTCCGGTTAACACTAGTCCAACGACGCAAGAGAGCGTTGTAATCGACCAATAGGATTCAACTTAGTTTTCAAAGTGTTAAACTGACCTGAGAAGAGATCAGAACTAAGCAGATCTGCTACTACGGTTAAAAGAAACTTCGATATTACATTAGATCAAATATCTCTGCAATATTTGAATACTCCAAGAAGTACATCAATTGGTTGTTATTAATGGTAACATGAGCATGAAAAGTATTGCGAACAATTTTTCACTCTCGAGTTATTTGGCACAGAATTTGTGACTGATAATGCCAACTACTGTCGTCACAACAGCACATATTTGTTGTATTTTTTAAAAAATTGTTGCTTCCTATCGTCTTAATTATACGTTATTTAATCGACGCAACGCGTCTCTTAGTCCCTCATCAAGCGTTGAGCCTGATCGAGCGTTAATGGTGGTTTTGTTAATGGTATAATATTGGAACTTCACATAACTCTTCAGCCACACTTAAACATTTTAAAGGATAAAAATTAAAATGACGAATGCGCGAAAATGACCAATGTTTTGAAAAAAAGTACCTAAAGTTATTTACATACCTATTGCTGAGGAACATGTTGCATTAAAACAATCTAGATTCAACATTGAAGGTGTAGGGCTGTTTAAAAAGATTGAAATTTGCCGCTATAAAGTATTGCTGGCAACTAAGTAATTTGTTTCTCTCCAATATAAAGTATGAAGTACGATATATAATATAAAGTAACTAAAAATTAAGGAGAAACCACACATTAAAAAAAGATATGTTTTAAAGATCCCATTCTTAAGAACAGATTGTATTAATAAAAAAATATCTATATTCAATACTGTAGTTTTTCTTGGATGGTGTCAGAAAATTATGAAAAACTTTGGGCCATATTTCAGAAAATGGAGTATGTAAAGTACGTTCTTGATGTAAAGTATATTCAAAAATTACAAGAAACGTTTCAAATTCGAGAATCCGTGACATCTAGCAGATCAATTCGGGAATATTTTAGTGACAATCCTATGAGCAGTTTCTGCAAGTGTTCACAGACGCACCGACAGACGGACGGATAAACGAAGCGGGTCCGCCCGCAAACCTTGTATTTGGGCATACTTCATAATAGTGTATTCATCATTAACAAATTCATATTCATCAGCATACTTCATAATAGTGTATAATAAACTAGAGTTAGAACCTTAAATAATAAAAATGCTAACAAATCCATATTCATCAGTCTATTACTATATAATATATCAATGTTACTAACAGATTGTATTACTATTAATAAAAATAATTCTTACATTGAAAACTAGTGAAGCTGGATGGCGTTATGCTTTCCGGGATGCGAAGGACGCTGAAACTTCACAAACTTGAACGGTTCGTGCTCGGTCCCATTCGATTCTGAGGAGACTGCGACTAACACTCTTCTGTACCATAGCACTACGTAAGTAGTTTTTTTTATAAGTTTTAATAATAATAAAAAAATGAATAAAAACAAACGATCTCTCGGCGGTAGAAACCTTAACAAGAAGAGTCAAAAACTAGTAAAACGCCTTGCATAGATCTGGACCCCTAGATACTATGGTTGATTTTTGAGCAGAATTATTTTCTCCATTCATCAGGAATAACTTTTAGCGTTAAATTTGGTTTAGCAATAAATATATTTTTCATTTCTTTTGAATGAAAAAAGGAAGTAAAAGGGGAATGGAGCTTCTATTAAGTCGGGGGCTGGGGCAAGGTCCTTCTAGAATTGTTTATTAGCCTTGCATCGTAGCTATTGTGAAGTATCTTTTTTGAACATGATTTTAATTATTTTCTTTTAAATTTAGCGACTTTCTCAACATTGTATGTATATAATTTTTATTAATATAGAAAAATTGGTGAACATAGTTTGATAAAACTTCAAGATCATGAGTTGTTATTTTAATCCGTTTTTGTATTTACTACACTTAAAATATTGACTGCAATAATTTCCTTCAACGTGGAAAGTACTGTACTATGTGACTCCTCAATTAGTCGTGTACATCTTGACAATTAAGTCATTTTTTGAGAGAAATTGTAAGTGTTGATAATGTTATAAATTTATCAATTGTGAGTTTTGTTGATATTATATTATCATCGAACCATTGTAAAAATCATTCAAGTGTTAGTACACTTTTATAACAAATTATAATCTTAGGTTCATCAAGGCACTGTTTAAATAAATAAACAAACAAATAAGTACACTAAAGATTTTTTTGTGAATTCGAAGGTTTTTGATTAAGCTATTCTTTTTCTTTGAAGTTGCTATATTATTTCTGATGAAAGCGGCAATATCATACAATCACACGAAAAGGAATTAGGAAGGGGTAACGGAATATTTATAGCCTAAACGAATGTATCAGTTTGCATTTGATATGCATACCAATTCACACCAAGATTCCTTTGGTCGCTTCCCTTAAATCCCGCAAGGGTAGTGTACGATAAGATGAGCCAAATGAACAGTTCGACGGCCCTCTTTCGAGGCTGGTTTTGTTTACCTTTACGCCATCTAGCGATTGCAGAATGTACTGCGAGAATGTAAATGCGAAAAGTCAGACGCAGGCGGACGCAAGCGAACTCGACGAAGTGAACCGTGATAAGTGAACCGTGTTTGTACCAGCACTGAAGCTGAAATTGCTGTTGCGTTTACTCCTCTAAAATTGTTTGGGATTGTAACTCGTAATCAGCTCAAAATGTGGAAGAATCATGCGCTATTATAGTGTAAAGCAGAATGTAATATTGTCATGTGGTTAAGAACAATCGGAAGGAAATATAATGGCGCTGGTCACTGTAATGGACAGATCTTGCAGCGCATATCGCTGGCAGAGGAAGGTTGACCGATATTTCAAGCGAAGTGTGAAGTGTATAATATCAGGATGAGTAACACAAAATATATGCCTTTCCTAATAATTGTCTAATGTATTTTTAAATAAAGAATAGGTTCTTACGACTGAATGTATCATGACTGTGAGATTGACAGATCCACTCGTGTTATTATAGTATCGGCAACATGAGTGTAGTAAATAAAAAAGAAGATTTAAGTCAAACAGCTGGTGAACCAAGAGTTCCAGAAATTTCATTTGGGTCCCATTTTGCTTTACAAGTAGCATTGCAAACTATGAAAGAGCGTTGTCAGCAGTTACAGCAGCGGCTCATTGCTGTAGAGGGAGAAAATTTGAGTTTAAGAGTGGAACTGGAAAGAACAAATGTCAAGCTAACTGGCAGTGATAAACAAGAGGATGATGGCAATGCCTCAGATGAGCTTCATCAGCAAGTTGCACAACTTCAGCGTCAGAAGTCACAACTAACACATCATATATTTATGGTTGCCAATGAAAATAAACAACTGTGGAGTCGTCTTAGTCGTTTGACTCAAGCAAACAGATCATTAGGAAGCCACCTTTCTCGTATTAATGATACTTTGAGTCAACGATCCATCAAATGCAAGGATTCTTTAGATGGAGATCAGGATGAAAGAAATGGAAGTGGTCACTTTAGTAAGGAAAATGGTCAAATTAATGGAAATTCGTTGGATGGCGAGGGTATTTCTTCAATTTGTTATTCAAATGAGGAATTAAATGCTATGAATGTTTCATAATACTGTACTATTTTGCAGATGTGAAAGAAGAAAGCTTGGAAGAGATATCTTTAAAATTAATCAAAAGTTTTCGTCAGGAAAAAATTGAATTGGAGGAGCAGTATGCTCAGGTAATACTTTGACTCAAAAAAAAAAAAAAAAAAAAAAAAAAAAAAAAAAAAAAAAAAAAAAATTGTATCAATTATTAATTTGAATTGAAAAAACAACAACATAGATTTCATCATAATGAGTAAAGGAATATAAACCTAATGAGATTATGCAAGGTTCTCAATACTAATGTATTTAGCGATCATTTTTTGTCACCTGACCATTGCCTTCTGTTATGATCTTGCCAAATGAACGTTACAGTGAAAGAATGACAAGCATCCAAAATAGCAAATTTTCTAGCAGAGAAATTGGAAGTTTCAAATGTAGACCCAAAACCATATACAGATATTTCTAATGCAATTTACAAGGACACTGTTCATTTTTTTTGTAGCAGGTATTGCATTTAATCATAGCTCACCATAAAGTTCTAGATGGCATGACTTGGTGATTCTTTTTTACCATTATTGTTCTCTCACTGTACTAATCAAGTACATATTGTGGGATTATGTAAGAACCTTGTTGACATTAAAATGTATATGTTGGGTGTCAACTGCATAAGATATCAGTCATTTCTAATAAGAGTAGATTAGAAAATTTTATTTTGTTTTGCCAAGAATTTGATGTATGGAGCTTAACCTTCATTAACGTATGGTTAGTATGTCTCACTCAATTTATATGTTTTGTGACATTTTATAAATTTTTTAAGAAAACAGTTGTTAACGATAAAGTTCCTGTCTTTTTTTTCCTTATAGCAGCAATGTTATTAAAAATAGTATTTTATTGATAGGTTAAATATTTTTTCTGTTATTTGGTCTCAATTGACAGGTTTTGGATAATTCTCATAAAGGATAAACAGTTATTATTTTAACTATACAAAAACAATTGCTCTCTGATATTGTTGGGATAATGTAAAATTAATGTATTTCATTATAGTAAACTTTAACAAGCTGTCAATATTAGCCAAGTTTATTTTGTGCAGATGGTAGAAATACAGGAGGGATGCCCACCGTTGGAGCTGGATTTTGCAGTGTTTGAAGCGGATTCACCAGTTGCTGATTCTGAAGATGACACTGTCTTAGATGAAGTTCAAGAGATTGTGGAGAGACTTCGATCTTTACAAGCTGCTTTGCAAGAGCAGAGAGCACAACTTAGAAGTTCTCTTTCTCATCTTGAAACTATTAAAAATGGTGAGTCGGTATATTTAAACCTTTGCAGTCCTTTGTCCCGTGGTGGGATGCAGCGATTTCCTTGTTTCCGACCCTTTAAATTTCTAGGGACATTGTGGCAACAGTCTGGTGTGCCTCAGCGTAAGAAACTGTTCTTGCGCGTTAAACTATTTTTTGTATTGTTACAAATAACATATTAATTTATTTGCCTAACTTTTAATACATCACTATGTAAATTAACGTTTGGTGCTGAGAGCTTCACCCAATTAGCAATTATGCCTGTAGATTGCATTTAATTCATGGAGCTCGAGTTATCATTACTGTCACTTCATATTCTTCAGATTTACCTGAGAATTTTTTTCAACTTCTTAGGTCAGAGTCAGAATTGTTTACTGACTCTCAGTTCAGGATGTGACAATCTCGAATGCTTATTTATTGGTGTCATCAAAAGTACTACTGCAGCCTGCAAAACAATCTGTTTTTAAAACAACAAAAACATGGGCAAAATCTGTCTACATTGAAGCCTGCCTAATCTCTTCTGAAGAGAATTGTTCTGGTAACCTGTGTCATCTACATGAATAATAACCTGTGAAATAACAAAAAGTTAAATATAAGTCCCGCCCCACAGGACAAAGAATCAGAACCAAAAAAAGAGAAAGTTTATCGCGATGGATATAGGACTGTCAGATGGAGAAAACTGAGAAGTGAAAGGACTGCAAAGGGTTAAACAAGATATATGCTTATTCACGCTAAAATCATGAACTACAAGTTGTCAATTGTTAATTTTTCTTTCAGAAATATTTTTTGTTCTTTTCTCCCTAGTTTGTCTATATATAATTGTTTTTTAATGCAATACAGTCTTGAAAAATGTATCACCTTAAGCCATAAATGCTGGCAGTCTCAAAGTGAACTTTACTGGAAGGTGTAGTTACTGCTTTGGATGTTTTCCCATTGCGTTTTCTTGCTTTTCTCTCTATCAGTGATTGGTATGCTGTATTAACTTTCTATGTATCATTAATGATTAATTTTCTGCTATGACAGTTTATCCCTAAACCCAGAGCCTGACCTAAACATCAGTTGAATTCTCTGTAGACAGTGTCCATTAATTTGTAGTATTTGTTGATTTTGTTTGCAAATATTTTGGCTATTGCAAATGCCAGGATTGATTCCTTGTTGTATTGTTCTTTTAAAACATTTTACACGTTTTATTATTATTATTCGAAAATATTTTGGAAACATTTTTTTCCATTTCAATTTGCAAAATCTTAATTTTCTATTCTTATTTATGTTGTCCAAAGAATCTGGAAGGCATTTAGCTTGTAATTTTGTTTTGTTTATTCTGAACATCTAAAAATAAGTCCTATATTTGAATTACATATAAAGGTATTGATTTTTATATGAATTAAAAGGTATTGAGTTTTTAAAAATTGCTAAAAGAAGATTATCTCTTGTCTCTTCGTATTAATTTGGTTGATTTTATTATGATAATTTTTTATTTATGAATTCTGAATATTGTTTTTTGGAGAGATTGAGGTGAAAGTTATGAATAATTATTTAAAATTCAATTAGAGCATGAGCAATCTCTAATGCACACTTTTTTGAATATTTTTTTGTTGTTCGGCTCTTTGATAAAATATTGTGTTGCTTTTTGTTAGTTGAGAAATCATTCTCATGCCATAGGTCAACTGTAAAAGTGGTCACAATCTATGGATTAAAAGTGATGGAAATAAATGTGATATTTACATATGAATAGTTAACATACTATACATATCATCAAATATTAATAACCTTTCATGTAAATTCAAGTATATAAATGAATGCTTAGAAATTGGATCTTTTAGTATTAATTTGAATTTAATTGTCCTTTAATCTGAAATTAACTGTCAAAGAAACTGTTAAGTCTTTATGAGACACATGGGGAACAATTTCATGCTCATGTTTTCTTGAGCTTCAGCATGCCTAACCCTCTTTTTTGTTGTTAGTAGTTAAATTATGAATAGTCACCTAGAAGTTATTTCCATTGGTAAACCAGCTTCAGATTTGATAGTAATGTTGATAAAATAAATAAATCCTATTATGCATATATAACAAACAAGCATCATATGGTATATGCAAAAACTATTTTAACAGTTTTCAAGAATCTGTGAAAAAATTAGTGTAAATGAGGTGAATTTTCTTTTGTTTTAATAATGACATTAATAACCTTTACAATACCAACCTTTAATGAGAAATCGTTGAACTTTTAGTCCTTACACTTTAAAATTCACTAATTCTTCTGCTTTCTAAAATATTTTTCAGAATACAAAGTCTTTCATTTTGAAATAATTTTGGGAGTGAAAGAACTCTTAATTTTGTTTTAAAATCCTGCACAAAAAACACGTTAATGTACCCAGCTCATGTCATAATTACAAAAGCAATGTGTTAATTGTTATATAATTGCACTACAGTATACATATTTACGATTGCACTCTAGCGGCATTATGCTAATAAGGAAAATATATACAAGAACTTTAGTCATAGACCTTTATTACGAAATGAATTTGCATTCAACTCCTGCCAAAATATTGTTGCCTATTCAGAAGAAAAATATTGGTGCAGAAATACCTTATTTCAGCATTTTGCCTACAAATTGTATGCAACTCAAAATAAATCAATAATAATACAGTTCATTCCAGTTTCTGCTGCTACAAATTTGTTATGCATTTTGCTCCATAGTAATTGATGTTTTCATTATTTAGAAATTAGAATCTTGCTGGTAGAGCATGAAAAAGAGGCAATACTTCTGTTTTACATACTTGAGTTTTGACGCTTATTTGAATTTGCTGTTCAGCAGTAATACAAACTTAATTATTTCAATATTGGAATTGTCCATGGTACAACTCAACTGTACATTTACATCACAATCCATAATAATTTATCAATTCAAACTTGCCTTAAATGTAATGTAAATTACTATCTTAATATAGATAGAGCATCCAAACTTGTGTTTTCTCTTTTTTGTAACCATCCATTGAAAATTTATTATTTAAACATTACTAAGGTTGGCTTATGGAGGCATTTCTCTCAATTTCACTGCTCCTTCTCATTACTTTATATTCTTATCTTATCTAATGGTGTCAAAATTTGTGCCAATTGTTATTCACCTTCTATCAACGCGCGGTGATGGTGTAACGGTTAGTGTATTGGATTGTTATACCCAATTTGGCGGGTTCAAACCCGATCGAAACAGTGGATTTTTAAGGGTGGAAAAATCCTTCGTATGCCTTCCTTCAGAGGGGAAGTAAAGCCGGCTGTCCCATGTTAGTAGATTTACTGGCATGTAAAAGATCCTTAAGCCTAAATGACGCCTCTGAGCTAAATTCAAATTGCCTGTTTCTCACCTGAGAATTACCTTCTTTCTGGTCAGACGGAAAAGCAAGCCTCATGGCCTGAGTCACGCTACATAAAATAAGGCATTAATTCAATTCAATCATTCCATCTAACTGTGAGTTTCTCAAGCCTTGTGTTTGTAATCATAAAAACTATTAAAATTCTCCATATCTTTTGAGATTTTCAAAGGACAGTGCTCTGTATCCCAGTGTGCTCTGTATGCCAGGTTAAGGAGATGTATTGGGATATCTTTGCTTGTATAAAAACACACACATCATAGCATCTCTCAAAGTCTGTATAACTTTCAGATTATTGACTGGATCTGAGATTTTTAAATATAAAGTAATGCATTTCTAATTATTCTTGGTAAACTTTTACGTCAGCTGGTTGAACATTTATTTTATTCAGACTTTCAGAGCAAGTGTATCTTCATCAAGTGGGTCTAAGTACAAATCTCTACTTGCATGTCAATATCACTCAACTGCATCAAAGTCAGAATTCACTCACCTCAAAAATGGCTAAGCTCAGAATTCACTGACCATTATAAAGAAATAATCCATCTGAAAAAACCAAATACTCAGCCCCACCAACATGAAAAAAGTAGGGTTGCTACTGAAAGGCTTAGGCTTTCTCATACCAGTTAGTTTTCTAATTTCTATGGTCTGAGTTAGTTTTTGGTTTTGCGTGGCCCTATGTTTTTCCACATTGTTTTCCACAGGCCCCAGCTGCCCAAGGTTTTTCCACATTTGCACAATTGTTCAGTCCCTTAACAGTAGAATTGGTATGACTATGAGAATATTAGAGAAGAGTAAAATGTCATCCTGCATGCCAATTTTTGTTGAAAAGTTTGGAGAAGTTTTTGAGAAAATGTTGTTTTAATTTGAAACTTTTTTTTTTACAGAAAACTTTTGAATTTTAGAGAAATTCATTGCATACTATTTGAAATACTTCCTTACAAATGCAATAATGTATTCAAATCACTAGCAATATAAATATAAACAGCATGAGGCAAATTTAAAAAAAATTACATTTGTATAATTTTTGACAATCCAAAGGGATGTAGCAAAATGGTGTCTGTGTCATCTGTTGTTACAGTACGTTTAGCATGCTCCCTATGAAAAGTTAAAACAGTTTTTGAGAAATTTTTATTTTTAATATTTTTCTATATTGCACATATTTAACTTGGTATTGGGTGAAAAATATGAAAATTTTCAAAAAAATTTACATGGACTCAATGAAAAAAGTAATAATGCAGAACAATTTTCATTTGTACGAAAAAATCTCTATCTTCAATTTTGTGGTTGTAGAAAAACAATGAAAATTTCCAATTTCTGCAATTTTCGAAAATTCAGTTAACAGTGAAAATTGGATTTATGCTATCTTTGTAAGTGTATTTTGCTCTCTTATTCCAAAAAAGTTAAAGAAAAATTTGGAGAAAATTTTGAAAACGACCCAGGCCTTCTAGTAAAGTACACTCACTATTGAAAGAATGTTTTTCAAAATCGCAGAGTTTTGATTCGAGCCAACTGGACATGGGAATATCCCTTTTGGAAAAAATCCTACAAATAGTTTAGGCCCTAAATAGTTCACAGACAGACAGATGAACATTTTGGAGGGGAAGGAACACACATACACCTAACATATTGTTATTACAAGTAATTTTTAAGTAACTTATTGAAATGGAAGAAAATATTTTTCTGTCTCTAGACTTTAAAAAAAACCAACAACAACAACATAAACACAACTGAGAATAATTTAGTACTCATTGTCAGTAATGTTGGAATATGGCCACAATTTATTTCTAAAAATAAAATATTTGATATTTCTTTAGTGACTTTAAACAATGTTCAAAACAATTGAAAAATGGGTTTAACTAAGAGCAGCAAAAGGACGACAGTTTAAATAATAGTTTCTGAAGATATACCATCAAATGAATGTCACTGGGATGTGTAGAATTTTGTAAAGTAGAGGAAAGTTTGGAGGGATGGTACATTTTGCACAGTTCAGGCTCATTTCAGATGTCACAAGTGGCCAATAATTACACTGATAGATAGAAATGGATGCAGACTAGAACCAAAATATATAAAAATGTTTTAATCCTTGTTAGATTTCCATGCATTTTTAATCCATGTTATAATTTCTTCCAGTGTTGTCAACTGTCCTGCCCCTCTTCAATTCCAGATTCCATGAGTCAACTAAATTTCTCACACATTAAAATCATTTTCCTTTTCTTTCAATATTTTTTCAGAAAAGAAAAGAAAAAAAATGTACATAAGCTGCTTTCACCTGCATTCATTATTTCAGAAATACTATTATCCTTATCACACCTTGTTATAATTGTCAAGCATTGAAAATCTCTGTATTCTTTAAATCCATGAAAAGTGTGTTCCACATTTGAGAAAATTAATGGGTTGAGGTCAAAAAACTTTTTTTTGTTATCTTGCGGTTACCAATAATTTTTTTGTTTTTCCCTTTGACTAGGTTTAAGACAAGCCTTTAGACTTTACACAGAAAACTTGTGGAATTGTTATCCTGGCCATTGAAGTTACATTTCAACAAAATTAATAATATGGCTAAATAAGTGTCAAAATTGTAAATAGATTGTGTATGGATTTTTACTGTTAGGTGTATATCTTGTGGAATTTTGATATGTTCAGTCGATTAAGTTAATCGTTTTTTTCAGAAGGACGAATGTGTCCACGGTGCCGAGGGCTGGGCCCAACAGTTTTGAATGGTAGTAAAACAGCTCATGCTGAGTTGCTTGATGTGGAAATGGAAGGTGCGCCTGCTTGGGCTGCTCCTGCTCTTCCATCAAGTCATGATGTTCAGGTATGAGTATTTTCTTCTTTCTTGGATATTCCTGTATTCTTTGTGTTTTCCTTGCTGAAATAACGTTCATGTTTTATTTAAAGTTACTAATAAGTATTAATAACAGGAAACATAGTATAAACCTTCATATTCTTGATGTTAACAATCTTCTCAAAAGATAGTGACAGTTTTACTGATTGCATTAGAGGAAGCTGTGTTGTACAGAATCAACAGTTAGTGCACAGCATATTTTTTTCAATTTATATGACTATTGTGTACAAGAACATGACAACTTAACAGAGTGTGGTAAAATTTTAGTGGATTAGAACAGTGTAATAAGAGTACAATTTTTTAATCCTTTTGGTTTACTGGTTGGTTGTCTGTATTTCTGTGGAGGTTCAGTGAATGTTTGCTCTTCTCTCGAATTACCTCAATTTACATTTACATAATTACAATTTTTAGAGATTTTGATAGAGGGTAATTTAGATTTACTGTTACATCTGTGATGTAAGACAATCCTGAGAGGTTTGGAAAAAAATACATATCCTTATATTTTGATATTACAAACGTTTAAATCTGCCATCTGCTGTCAAATTAAATTATTGTGCTCTATTCTTACAAAAAGTTTAAATAAATAAACAAATAATAATAATAAAAAAAATGGTGATTTCAACCCAAACACTGCAGGTGGTGACATGTTAACTGTTGCACTAATGTGACTGTTTGAAAATCTTTGTTTTTTCTGCTTTGTGTTTATTATATATTGAATTTGTAATGTTGCAGTGATTCTTGCACATTGCAACTCAAAATTTGCAAAAACATTTTCAGAAAAATGGACAGAAAAACATATTTAGCTCCAATATGAAAAGAGTAAGTCAGGTTCAGAAAGAGTTGAGACATTTTCAAAATTCTAAGTGTTTTAATGAAAATCATTATATATTATTATGCAAACTTTGTTCTATTGAAGCATTTCATTTGAGGAAAAAATTAGAAGCCCTTTTGAGAATACCGTGAATATATTATCATTCATCTAGTTTAGATGAATTTCCGGATTGTTTATTGAAAACTTGTGTACCTGCCTTTATACACCTGTTAACTCACATTTCCAATCCTGCTTTATGCACAGGAATATTTCCAGATATTTTCAAAACTTCAAAAATTAAGCCACTTTTTAAAAAAGGGAGCAAAAATGAAATTCAAAATTACCGATCAATTTCTCTTTTGTCAGGTTTCTCTAAAATATTAGATTGACTTTTCTATACGTGAATAGATACTTTTCTCAGGAAAAACGAAGTGTTTTCAGTCTCAGAACCCGGGTTTAGAAAATCAAAATCTACGGAAACTGCCATTTTTTCTTTTCTTAAAGATGTTGCTTCATCAATGGACCAAAATGAAGCACCCATTGGAATATTTGTAAATCTTTCCAAAGCTTTTGACGTTATTGACCATAACATCTTGCTCTCAAAATTACCTTCTTGTGGAATTCGTGGTATCACCTTAGATTGGATAACTTCATATCTTAAACATCAATCTCAAAGAGTAGAAATACCATACTGGCACAAAAGGACATAATTTACTTATCTTTCCATTTCTTTACCAATTGAACATGGAGTTCTGCAAAGCTCGATCTTAGGTCCTATCCTCTTTCTGTTATACGTAAACAATATGCTGTCATCTATTAAAATCAGAATAACGAATCGGTTTGCCGATGACACGAATGTTCTTTGCAAAAAAGAAACAATAAATAGTAGAATTTTAGAAGTTTCAAATTGGTTTTGTAAAAACAAATTAATAGTTAATGAAAGAAAAACGGTTTCAATGCATTTTTGACTTTCAAATCAGCAACCGTATGCTCCATTGAAAATGAAGAATATGCAATTAGGTGACGTTCAGGTTACAAAATTTCTAGGTCTGTCAATTCAGTCAAACCTCAAATGGAATGTTCATATAAGAAAATTAAACACTAAATTAAGTTCATTGTGTTACACATTCAGAATTCTATCCAATTCTGTCAGCCTTCATGCAGCTTGTTGCGTGTATTTTGCAAATGTACATTCCCACCTGAGATATGGTATAAAATTCTGGGGAAATTCATCATGTAGTACTCAGACCTTTAGATTGCAAATGAAAATTATTCGAAATAATGCCATCCATGTTACCCTTGCAAGTTTCTCTTCATTGAGGTTGAAATCTTACCACTGCCTTACCTATATATTTACGAATCTGTAATATTTGTCAAACGCAACTTACTTAATGGTGGGAACATATTTTCATGCAATACTGATTTTTATAATTGCAACACACATTATAAAAATCACTTTCATCAAGTGTCAGTATCAACAACTCACTATCAGAAATCCACATACAATTCATGTACATTACTTTACACTGCCATATGACAGTAAACAATTCAAGTCGTTTCACAAATTTAAGTTAAAAGTAAAATCTAGAATAAACGTTAAATTGTAAATACAGTTGACAGTGCGACTCATTTTTTAGTTTCATGCTAAATACACATTATCATTAACAGTTTAAAGATACTCTTAATGGTTACAAAAATTGGTAGAAATATGTGTAATATTCAAGTATTATCCTGTTCCCTTTTACTTCACTTCACTACTCAATATTTTCAACATTAAAGTAAACATGTCCAGTCGACATATGCCTGCACTTCTATTGGCCTTTCCTTCTTGAGTAACATGTCACTGTGTTGTACCCTTGCATGCTGGGGGACCCTTGAATGCTTAACTTGTTGTTAGACATATTCTGCAGATTATACACTGAACATTTCTTTGTACTTGTCCATTTATAGTCTTTTTATCGGGAAAAAAATAAGGCTTTACAGTAAACTTAAGTTAGTGTGTTAGGAAGAACTTTTGGGGCAATAAAAAGTAGGTAGGGTACTAAATGTCACAGCATGGGTGATATAGAAATGGAGTGCAAAACAGACAAAAACTGCATTTGAGTTGATAAACAATTGAATTGTTGGGAAGTAAATTGATTTTGATTGTGCAAGAATTAGTGTAGATGTATAGAATGATGTCTTTAGGTGTACAGAAAGATGTTTTTAGACAAATTACTCAAGTTATAGTTACCTTATAGAGGTTGCTTGAATACATGATGAACGAAACATCCATCTTGAGCATTCAATGCATTTTTTCAAGTATGGAGAGAGCACATTAAAGACAGCAGAGACTTGTTTAGAATGAACTTGAGTTGTGGCCCTTTGCTAGACATTAACTTTTATTTTGTACACCCCGAAATATTGTATTGACCAGTGGGGACTTGTGGTTTATTGTTCGCAGGACCAATAGATGAAATTCTGAATTTGAAATTACCTTCTCATGTTTTTTGTAAAACTCAATTCTGGTGTGAATTATTGTCATAAGCTCATTGCATCTCTCTCTTCCTTCTAATGGAAAATGTAATGCTATCAACCATTTGTTTTGTTTAGTAGACCTTCTACTCTAATAAACTGTATTAAGTATGAGGAGACTTTAAAAGCTCTTGCTTTGGATAAATTTCTTATCAACAAAGAGCAATGAAGCATAATATTTAAGGAGTTTTGAAAAGGACTGTTTCTCTACCTATTATTAATTTGTAGATTTTCTCTTTCTGCTGTTCTTTTTCATTTGAGAGGCTCCTGTTTTATAGGAATTGATTTTATAGGGTTATATCTTTCCGTACCTTTTTTAATTTTATTGTGGCATGTAAAACATTAGTGATAATTGCCTGCATTTGTAGCTGATTTGCTTTTGCAAATTATTTTATCTTATGGGAGCTAATATTTTCAAATCATTTTTGATGGAATCACTTATTGCTTATTCATAATTCAACTTAATATGTATATACCTTATGAAAGATATATATGTATATGGCTTACATAAGGAAAATGTTCACTTAAAAGTAAAGGTGGTTTTTTTTGTGTGTAAGGTTACTTTTTAGGGCTACAAAGTTATAGTAAGCACAAGATATCTGTGCACTTGATGATGGTTAAAATGTAAGCTATGTCTCACATTTTAATAGTCATAGACTGCTCTGATATTTCACGGTAGCTACATATGTATTCAGTGTTGTGATAAAATAGTAATTAGTGGTTCTACAGAATAGCAAAGAATTTTCTCATACTATTTAGTTTTCTGTTCTATGCTATGTCTAAAAGTCAAACACTCCTATTGGCGGTGGCGAAGAACATCTTCCCACACTTCAAGCATTGAATAGACATTCTGTTTGGTCCTGTACCTTTAGATTCTTGCATGGTATTTCATGGTCCCACCGTTTGTACCATTGTTCTGAAATGCCTCTCCTCCTCATACATCTGAAAAAAATTGTCTTACGCGGTTTTCAAACCCAAGCCTTAGTGTCCATATACCCTAAATTTCTCTATCAAAACCTTGACAGATGTGTTTCTATGTTTGTGTTTTTCAGTTAGTCTAATTTTCTCACTGAGAGTTAACATTTTCATTTACCCCTTTTTGCCGCTGCGTTATTTTTTCTCCATACTACATTAGTTAGTAGCTGAGAAAGGTATAATTTTTTTTCTCGTGACATCTGTCTGTCCATCCATGACCAATGCCATTGTCTAAACCATTTACGAGATTTCCTCGAAAATGAGTATTTCCAATGCTGTACCAGATATCAGCTCTTCTAATTTGAAGTGAACATTTTAATTTTTGGTTGTATTTACTGCATCATTATTATATACTTATAATAATGATACAGTGATTTTCATTGAAACTTCTATTTTGGAAATTTGCGAAAGTTTAAAATGTTTTGATTCCGTTCCTATGATTATACTATTGAAAATAGATATTCTTTCCCCAAAGAAACCTGTTGCTCAAAATATGATTAGTTTTCATGGAATTGAGAAGGTAGCAGTAATAATTTTTAAGAATTTAGAAAACAAGATTTTCTGAAGAACCCCCCCCCCCCCCCTAAATAAGGGAAGTTTAAAAAGGCATATACAAAATTAAATACTTTGATATTTTTTCAAACTTGTAGTATTGAAACTAGTACAATTTTTTGAAATGTTTTGTAGTTTTCCTTCCATTTGAATTAGAAATTGGCAGGATCACAAATATATTTTGAATATCTTATAACCCCTCCCCACCCTCCTTGAACATGCTGCATTTCTGGAAAAACATTGGAAAAGACTTTACTGTGTTAAATATTTGCATTTGATGCATGATTGTACTGAATTGGACAGCAAGAATGATGTGGGTTGGTGTGACACAGGTTATACATGGTGTAAAATATACATTCATGCGATATTTTAATATAGATTTGTTTTAAGGGATTGTAATTATTAAGAAATTTTCCTCATTATTACAGTATTTTGGTCAGAAATAAAACTTATTATGGTGTAACCTTTTAATTTGAAGCGTTTTGTAGTGATAAACATTCTCAAGACTTGCTCATGTATTGCACCCATTAATTTAAGGCAAAGAAAATGTATTCAGATGACCAGTGGGGACTGACTACTTTAACTTATAGTCATACTTTATGCAACAAAATTGTTTTTTCATATCCAATTCTTTACCTTTTGTAGCGCCAGTTGCAGTGTGTGGCAGAGCCTCCTCTCTCTGAACTACCAACTCCATCTTCATTTAAGAGAGGCTCAGGACCAAGACGCCTAAGTGAACGAGCTGCATCTTTTCATGCCTCTTCAAATCCTGCCTCAACACCTATTGAACAATGGATGTGTCCCCTGTGTAGCAAAGTTTATCCGAAATCAGTGGAATTTGAAGAGTTTCAGCAACATGTAATGAGTCATTTTGCTGATGAAGATCCTGAACCTGAGTCCATTATAAATAATTTTGAAGTTGTTCCTAAAAACTTGGATGCTTTATAGAAAATATTTTACTACACTAGAACAGTAGCTTGGAAGGAATACTTTTGTAGTATGCTATCTTCTGGGTTCCAGTGTGACAGAATTTGGTTTGGATATATTTATGTTCTATTCAATTTAAAACTTTGTGCACTATGAAAGATTGTCTATGATGACTAGTTTATACAGTATAAATGTAATACAAAATATGTTTTACAAGGGAATGTAAGTAAGTTTACTTCTGCAAACGGTAATTTTTATTTTATTAATTGAAACTCAATGGTTCATTATGTGGAAAAAACTCTGGTATTATAATAGAACGTAATACTTCAGAAAGTATTTAAACTATTCATAACATTTTTTGATTAATAATAACAATTGACTAAGAGTTCTAAGAACACCCTGGTACATTGTGTAGTTTAACTACCGGGAATTTGTAAGTATTAAGAAGGAAATCCAAGTGAACCCTTACTAAAACAATCGACATGAATGTAGAGGTCAAAGTGAGGATTTTATTAGAATATTTATAATTACATTCTGTAACAAATGAAACAAACTAGGTGTTTTAATGCCAGTTTTCTGTAGCTTCATAAAATGTAAAATTACAAGTAAAGTATTGTACATTTGATTATTTGACCTCGGCAATCCCAATTGTTAAATATTGCATTTTCAAATATGGATTATATTAAGCCTTGCCTAGCAATATTGATGTGGACAAAAGTTTAAAGGACAGTCCTGACCAAACTGGTTTACAAGGACTAAGAATACCTGGAACAATGTTGCTTTAGGTAAATAAAATTTGTATGTTCTTTGTCTGTGATGGTAGTTTCTATTTACCAATTGTTGAAGTGATTATTGACTATTTAAGGGTGCTGAGATTGTATTTTTATAGTTGTGGGGATTTATTCTCCTTTATTTCATTAATAAAGAAGTTTTTTGATTACATATTTTCATTGCCTTTAATAGGAAATCTTGAAAACCTTAACTTTCTATAGCAATTCATAGCATTATGCCAACTCTGTAGGTTTAACATCATTACTTGCTGCAGGAGATTGAGTTGATCGCTGCATTAAGTTCTTTGAGAACCATGGAGGGCGTTCTTTCTTCATTTCAACTATCCTCTTGCCCTGAAATAGTACTATTTTACTGATTTGGAGCAAAATTGCAGAAACAATGGATTGTGCAACTATTACATGCTATTATACATTGTCCTTCAATGAAACAGGAAATCAAACTTGTTTTCTCTAAGTTCACATTTTACAAGTAAGCATCATGTGAAATTTTGAATCTCCTACATTAATAATTAGCAATACGTGCTTACCTGCCAAAATTCTTCAGGTTCTTTCTGCCTTTCGTTATCATACAGAACAACTACGTCTTGCTCAACAGGGGAAAGACCAAGATTTTCCTGAATTTTCTCTTGCATTTCCTTTGTTTCTGCAATAACTTTTTCATAGCAGTGTGCTAAAAAATGTATCCATATCTACAGTTTTCCATCCTGAACTCCACTCAAAGGAATGCACTCCACGCAATACTTACAGCATAATACTCCTGCTTCGTGGTGATGGCCACATGTATTACATTCAAGCAAATTTGTTTTAGGAAGGTAAATCTTCATTCCATAATCAGGACTTCCAAATTTCCGTTTCAACCGCTTTTCAATAGTCGTCCTATGTTTGGGAACAGCCCATAGAAAAGCACTGTCGAACACATTATCCAAAGAATATGTTTTTTCCGGTGCTGTTTCATAATGAGCAACGGCCAGGCAAGGGTCGCCTGAAAAGAATAGGTTATGTACAACTTGCTAAAATGTTGTTCATGAAAATATTATCCACTCACTTGGATACTCACTTGGAGGAAAAGGGCGTCCCAAAACCGATATAACTGCCCAATCAATTATTTTCAAAGTATCACGCAAACATCTGACTAAGGTCGCCGCCATGTTGAATTTCACTTCTCCGCACTGTGATCTTCGTTTGTTTCCTAAGGCATGCCTGCCGATTTCACTCTCGGCAGAATGTAACTGGCATGAGCCGTGCGGCTCCTCACAGCAGTTTGGACTATGGCGTGTATAGGGTCGGGTAGACTCTGTGCTCGTGTGGAGAAACTGTGCCTTCTTGGTCAAGTCACACAAATACGTCGGAAAACCAATTATGCTAGGCTCAAGCAGTTCACAACTCAACCCTCCGCAAGGACCTTTGTACAAAGTTGCCAGGTTAGTGGGCACTGTATTTACAATTTTTGCGATTTTATTATTGTATTGTATTGTTGCCAAGCAACAGTGTATGCCAGCGTTCCATCGAGAGGAGTTGATTTTTGATTCATGATCTGTGTATTGCTTTACGGTTTTCTGTAACCATTACATAAGGGGAATGGCCGAGTTCTACACTGCAGCATTTATCGTTCTGTTTGGATTTGGTTTGTCAATTTATTCCAAAAAAATTTGACTTTAATTTCTAAAGGAATGTCATGACATGCATGCCTTTTGTTTTCTCTATCGTTGAACTTAAATGTTGAACATTTAATTGTGAATGTTACCATCACTGCGATTATTATGCCTAGTGAGTGGCCCGCGATATTAATACTTTGTGTTAATGTGCCAAGATCGTGCATTTCGAATTGCTCATTTCTGCGTAATGACAACATCTGGAACCATATTAGCCCTCCCTCTTTTTCTTAAATATTAGATTCTTTATTGACTTTCGCGAAATGAGCTGTTCGCCGCACGTTGTTTTGGCGGCCCCTGCGGGAGAATAAATGCATCAAATTTCTGGCTGGGGTTCCACTCACAAGTAGGTCGCAGTAAAAGAAACACTTTCTCGCAGGATTTATGTATGAACTATCAGTTTTAAACATTTTCCGACGTCGCATTGAGGCATAATCTTGACGTAAGACTTTGGATAATTGGTTCACTTCGGGAATTTGTTCTGAAACGCCTATTTCTTTTCGGACCTCACTTGCATTCCGAGGCATGCTGAAAGATATCGTTTGGCGCGCAAGAGGTCTTCGTATAAAACATGTGAAGGCAACGACACTTTGGTGGAATGTCACGTTCTTTAAAATTTTGTGAATATTGTGTTCATTAAACTTTAACACTAAGGAGAAATATATTCTTGTTCTTATAGAACATGTGTTGAGTCTCTTGAAGAATTTTGCTAAAAAAGAAAGTGAATAATATTGAATGAGAGTTATTTCAAAATAATTAGTGCTAAGAAGGAATGTTGCCCAGAATATAACAATTATGCAGTATTTGAACAACTGAGTGTGCGGATGTTCGGATCCGTCACTCACGGCTAGATCACTTCTCGTCTCGTGTTTTGGAAGCTCGTAAAACAAAACGTAAAAATCGCATATTTGCTACTGGTTCCAGACTACTCACTTGCTTCTTCATTATTTACTATTGTTTCTAGAGTGGTGTAGCTTACTTCGCAACATTTTGTGATTTTTTTTTTCGGGCATGAAGTTATAATTTTTACTGTTTTAATTTTCGATTGTTGTGTTATATCAATTTCCATTGAAATATATGCACGTATGTTTATGTATGCCACAGTGTAAGTAATATTGTTTGCAAGAAAGTAGGGTGTAGAGGTAAGGTGAGGTATTGATAAAAGCCATGTTTTGAGTTCTTGAAATGGGAATTGATTTTGTAAGCGTAAATCTGGTTAACGGTTCATATCAGGAACATTAGATTTCTTTAAAAGAAAATTGTGTTGTAATAATAAGCTACAAGATAAGGATATTTATTTCATTATATATATTTTTTTAAATTCGGATTGTCTACAGAAGAACCGTTTTGAAATGCGGTTTCCCCTGGTGAACTCAGGTAGACTGCGGCGGGAAGGAACGAGCGTTGAAAGTTGTTTCTCTCCAGCTAGTTGTCGGCGAAAGCGCGAGTCCTGCAAATGCTGAATAACCAGACTACTGGCACGCATAGTTTCCTTGAGCCCAAATTATCGCTCTCGTGGAACGGACTGTCGAGTATGTTGAAAAACGAGGAAAAGGTGATAAGAAAACAATTTCTGCTTCTATAATCTCATTAAAAAATTCGTTGTGAGCTAGTATTAGTTGGGAGGATGAGTGAAAATTCGTTTTAAGTCAATAGCGATTTTTTGTGTAATTCAAAAGGTTACAAAACCATTTCGGATTTCTTCAACTAAATATCACTACACATAAATCTGTAATAAAAATAATTTTCTGTCAGATCTCCGAACTTTACTTATATAGAAAAGATGTTTGTGAAATGCCGCTTAAAGGCTTTGCTTTTTATTACAGAATGTTAAAAATGTAGAGATTCCTATGCATCGAGATATTAGGGATTACGTATTTAGACTAATATAATACATAACTACGACGATTTTGACAAAGAAAAAGCCATTTTGGAAAAGAAAAGAAAACGAAAAAATAAAAATCAGAATCTAAAAATGGCAAATTTATCTGTAGCTTTATAGTTTATGTTCTGACTTATAAAGAAAACAACTAAGTTGTTACGAATTCTATAATTAAAAGTGGAGATTTTCGTTTATTTTGAAGGGAGATGTCAAACTGTGTTTAGCATTACTCTCATGGTGCAGTAACTTAATAGAAAACGCTGATTTTGGAAAGTGAATGAATAGTGCAGGCTCTGGTAGAACATTGTGTAATTGGGTCTTTTAATCTTTACGTCATTGGAAGAAGACTGATGAAAACTGTAAATACGCCGATCTTTTCTTGTGAAACGACTACGAAATACTGGGTGGCGAGTGTTCGTCCAGTTATGTTGTAATGGTCGTTTTGAAGAGTAGTTAGTGCACGCTCTCACCGTTTGTTTCAACTTATTTGCCGAAGGATTCCAATTAGACAACGCTACAGCATATGTTCCTCCAAACAAAAGTTAACTTTTCCGCAGTTATAATCTTCGTGAGAAAAATCCTCAAGCTGCTTGACTGAACTCGTGCATTTCTGCGCGTCTAAGTCCACAGTCATTTCCCTACCGTAGATTCTTAGCCGGCATGGAAACACTTCTACGATCATGACGTACACTCTCGTAGTTTGTCTTAGTTGTGTGAGGGGGTGGCACACTGCAGCTCGAAAGTTCGCAACATCGTGTCGAGCTACGAGCATCTCCAGCGACGGAGGAGCAGGTGGCCGGTGCTCGCGCTTGCGACACGCGCCGAGCACGCCTGTTTGAGATGCTCGGCTGGCGCAGCCAAGGATGGCGCGGACCAAAGACATGCAAATCCCGCGGCCGCTCCCGCCTCACGTCGAAGGCCCGCGGAGGCCCTGGCCTCGCGGGCGCTGCGTCGCCCCGCGCCGCGTCACACGCCGCCGCCACCCGCCACCCGCCTCCCCTTGCGGATGCGGAAACGTCGCGCCCACTGAGGAGGATGTTACGCTGAGGGGATTTACAATGCCGAAGACGATTTTCTCAGTGAGCGATCACTGTTTACAAAAGAAAGGTTTCGTTCTATAAAATTAATGTTGCAGTTGAACTTATTAATATTGTTTCGGAATAAAGGATATAGTTAAAGAGAAGAATCGCCCCTACTTTTTTTAGGCCAAAACTAAAGGTAATAAATTGTCTGGTGCGGATTAAATGATATCATTTCAGTTTACTTTCGTACCTATGTGATTGGAAATTTGCTTTGTGAATGACAACGGAATTACTATTAAAAAAGTTGGGGTAATTAATAAAGGAAGCCCGGGCCAAGTAGTTAGCGTATTTTCAATCTCAACAATATTCACAAAGAAAGAAAGAAAAAGGATTTAAATGGCAACGTACGTTCAGAATGATTCTTTGGATCCATTGTGAAGCTAATCGCATGAACATATCACCCTTTATTTATCTGAACTCTATAGGAAAACCAGGGTGATGCGACAATTGAGACATCAAATTTCTCGGGGTAAAGTGGTCACGCCTTGGATTTTGAAATTCTGATATAATTTTTTATCGACAGTATGAGTTTGATAAGTACATAAAATACAATATACTATACGAACAGGAGATACAAAAAGATATTGATAAGATTTTAATTTTCTTGTTTAGATTGACTTTCCTTTCTAAAGAAATTATTGAATTTCTTGCCTGATTTATTTTTCTTCTATCGTAAATTCGTTTATTTTTACTATGTGTAAAAAAAATGCCACCCGTATTTCATCTTTTCGGAACTTACATTTTTTGACAACTAGTTCTTCGGTTCTTCACAGCTTTATTCTGAACAATTCTTCAAATCTTGTTTTTTTCGCTCATAATAATTTTACCTCTTACGTTTTCCATTTGCAAATCACCGAAAGTGATGTTTCCTTCCATTACGAAATTGTACGTTCTGAAGTTAATTTCTGTTTACACTCGGTGCTCAGAAATTGATGACAAATGCTTAAATCATAGCATTTATCTGCGTTAAGACATTGCTAGTGCCCTGCAGCAGCAAAAATGTGCCTGCACAAATCCACGCCATATGGTTTTCCAAAAAGAATCACACCCTGCTCAAAAACAAGAAATAAAATTGAACACTAAGATATCTTAATTCGTATAACACTACAATAAATTAAATATTTTAACAGAAACCTCTTCACAAATACGCAATAAATATACGAATACACATTACACCTGTTCTTTACATACCAAGAATATAAAAAAAGCTGCTGTTCTATAACGCATCCCATGAATAGCAAATATTTAATTGCGGGCGGCCTCTTCCTTGGAACATTGCTGTCACGTCACGTCACACTGAGTATGTGAATTATCGGTACGCGCAGAATGAGAATAGAATAACACAATCAAATATTTGTATTATCAGTAAAAATAGAAATGGTTTCATCAGTTTTGAATTTTTCAGAATTCTGAAAAAATTGCGAACCTATTGATAACTCACATGGTCAGATGATATATAGTTTTCTTTCAATTTCTGCGCGCATTGAAAATTAGTAATACTGTATTTGGTGTAGTAATAGTGGAAATATTATTGGAAACAGTTGCTAGACATTTCACACAAAAAATCAATTCCATAAAACTTCCGACGTTCTGATTTATCCGAAAATTGCATTGTCTTGCGTTTACAAGCGGAATTTATGGTGACTAATTCCGGTTGCATTGTGATCATTTCGTGTCCATTTGTTCATAAAACGGAAAGTGTTAACAACTGTCAATTACGACAGGTATGGTTGTGTTCCGAAGTTTTCAGTTTATTTTCACTCACATGAATTCTGTTAATGAATCAGAAAGGTCGAGAATATAAA